GGGTCACCCTCTGGGACTAGGAGCATGGAGCAGAGATGGGGAGCGGCCTTGGAAAGGAAAGCAAGCTCGTACTGCCTGTCCTCGAGTACATCACTGCCAAGGGCAGGTGCACCCCTGACGGACGCAGGACGGGCAGGGTCAAGGAAACAGAGCGGTAGCGTAGTCAAGGTGGCGGGTAGAGGCGAAGTCAGCGACAGCCGCGACAAGCGCGTTAAGGCGCGAGACAAAAAACAGACGGGTCTGTAACAAGAAAGGCAAGAAACTGAGGGACAAGGGGACGAGCAGCACGGAGGTAGGCAGACAGCGGGTGAGATGCAACAACAAGCAACGAGGGAGGAGGCGAAGGGAGGAGGGGAGGACGAGACGAGTGGGAACAGAGCAACATAGGGTGGGAGCGCAGGACAGGAGAGACGAGCACGGGAGGGACGGCGAGACCACACGTGGGACGGAGGTGTAGGGTCAGGAGACAGCAGAGGGGACACAAAAGGGGAACGAGGAGGAAGACGGGCCGGAGACGAGTCCAGCGGTGGGAACACAGGGCCGGAGACAGGAAGGTGAGAAGGTGGTGGGGGAGACACCGACGAGCGGTCGGTGGAGGGAAGGCCGAGCAGGCGAAGAGTGGAGACCGGCGGCGACGGCTGCAGCGGCTGCTGCGGTGGCTGGTGCTCGACCCGCGGACCGGTAGGGGCAAGATGGCCGCTGGGAGGACACTCAACAGCAGCACCCCCAGAACCAACACCCCCAGAGCAAGAACCCCCTCCAACACCGGCGGCACCCCCAGGCCGGCCGGGACAGACCACGCTAGGGGCCGCAAGACGAACACCCTCCTCAACGCCAGCACCCCCACAGGCCAAGAGCGGCTGCGACGGTGGCGGCGGCTACGACGGCGGCGGCGGCGGCGGCGGCGGCTGCGACAGCGAAGGCGGAGACACCAGGGAAGGGGGACGTGGCAAGGACGGGCCGGGGGGACCACCAGAGTCAGCAGACTCCTCAACGGGGACAACCGACGGGAGGGGAGTGACATGGGAGACACCAGACGGGGTAGGACGAGGCAGGAGGGGAGCAGGGGCTACCGGGAGAGAGGGAGCCAGGAACAAGGGGGGGGGAACCGGGAGACCTCGGTGAGGGAAGCGACGGAAGAAGGAGACAGACTCGTTAAAGGTGACATCACGAGAGTGAAGGAAGCGGTGAGACAACGGGTGGTAGAACAGCCAGTCAGACGAGTCCAGGGGGAAACCGAGGAAGACACAGGGGACAGTGCGGGCAGTGAGCTTGTCCGTGCCAGAGGCACGAACGTGAGCAAGGTAGCCCCAGACGTGGAACGCAGACGCGTCACCAGGGGACCCGGTCCAAAGGAGGGTCGGCGAAACCTGCGGCCGCTGGGAGCGTGGCCACAGGTTAAGCTGGTGAGCAGCATAGCGAACAGTGAACAGCCACAGAAAAGGGGGGGCATCGGCATGAATCATGGAGGTACGAGCAACCTCCATGACCAAGCCGATGCGGCGCTCAGCAATTCCATTCTGCTGTGGCGAGTCCGGCAAGGTGTACGACTGGGTGATGCCCTCCGCACGACAGAACTGTCCAAGCCGACCAGAGGCGAACTCGCCGCCACGGTCAGAGTAGAGACACAACACGGGTAGACCGCGGTGGAGACGCGCAGCCACAACCCACGGGAGAAGAACGTCGGGCACGTCGGCCTTCCGCTCCAGGGGAAACACCGTGGTGTAGCGCGTGTAGTCGTCGACGAGCACAAGAAAGTATCGCTCACCGCGCGGTCCGGGGACGGGGGCTGGGCCCCAAACGTCCAGGTGCAGGGTCTGAAGGGGAGCAGTATCAGGGTGAAGCGAGGAGGAGTGAGGGGCACGGCGGAGCCGGCCCTCGACGCAAGGCGTGCACGGTGGCGCAGTCGAGGGGGGAAGTGCGGGGAGCGACTCGGGGAGGCCTAAGACAAGACCGTGCTGAGACATGTGACGCGGGCGCGGGAGAGCAGGGTGACCTAAGCGGTGGTGCCACAGAAGGGATGGGTGAGTGAGGGACCGACACGAGCAAGCTGCAGCGACCTGGGAGGACGCACCAACCGGGGGGGAAGTGGTGTCGAGGGTAAACAGACCGGACACCGGGTCCCGGGGGAACGTCGCAAGGGGGGAACCTGAGACAGCCTCGGTACAGACAGCGAACTGCTCGTGCCCACGAAACATAGTTGTGACACGGAGGTCCTGAAGACGGCCGACACCAACCAGGTTCCTGGAGAACGAGGGAACGTGGAGGCCTGTAAGAGAGCCCGAGGGAACGGCTGGACAGGGAAGGGATGTGGAGCTACAAGCGACGACAGGACCCGCAGAGGGGTCAGCGAGAGCGACAACAGCAGGCGCAGCAAGCGGCATGAGCGTGGAGCGGTCGCGGAAGAAACAGGTAGAAGCAGTGAAGGACAGCGAGGCAGTAGCGGAGGCCGGGAACGGAGCCGGTGCAGAAACTAGGCTAGGTAAACTAGGCACTCCTACGCCTGACGCAGTAGGGGAGGCTAAGCTTCACAAGGGTGAAACACCTAGACTAGAGTACACAGGGTTATAAGATCCAGCAACACTAGAAGCGTCAGCAAACAAAGCATGCAAAGCTGCACCTATCGTATCCATATCTAAATCAATGATTGGCACGCCCTCGCGAAGCAGGCTGTGCCAGTCAGGGAGGTCCGGGGCCGGGCCAAAGCGACGACGAAAGAGATCGTCGAGGCGGCGGAAACAGCGGGCGGTCGGGTGCGGGCGACGGCACAGAGTGCCGCGGAGAGGCTTGGTCTGAAGCTGGTACTTGCAGGTCACACCAACGGAGCTGCCGGTAGACGCCAAGCTGCGCGGGCCACCACCACGGCCACCACGTGAGGAGGTACCGGGCCAACCCGGCGGGAGACGAGCCCACGGCGCGGGTTGAGACAGGTGCTGCGACGGCTGCGACTGCTTCGACGGCTGCTGCGGCTGCTCCTGCTGGTGGGGCGACGGCTGCTGCTCCTGACTAGCTGTGGCAGTCCCCTAAGTAGAACCACTGTCCCCGGCACCACCACCACCACCAGCTCCACCACCACGCCCTCCCTGGCGGCCACGGCCAGCGCGGCGCGGGCGCTGCTGCGGGTGTACCGCAGCTGCAGTCTCTGTCAGAGGGGTCACAGTGGCGACCGCAGCCGAAACGTCAGTAAACGTGCACTCGGAGGGGGCACAGCCGTGAAAAATAGAGACTGCCGGCGCACCGCTCGACTGAGCGATAGTGCGCTGGCGAGTCTCGAACTCGGTCAGGGCGGTGACAAAGGCTAGCAGGGTGAGATCACCCGGGTGCTGGCTAAGGATGTGGTCGCGTGCACTAGCAAGGTGGTCAGGCAGGCGCATGGCGATAAAGTAGAGGGTCATGCAGAAGGGGGGAGGGAGCGCAGTGAGTTGGGTAGCAGTGCTAGCACTGCGGTAGCGAGACTCTAGGGTGCGCAGGTGAGTGGCAAGGTCAGCAACAGTAGGGAAGGAAGCAAGGTCTGGGAAAAGCATAGGGAAGAGCAGGCGGCCTGCAATAGCGGAGGCAGGCGTGGAATAGCGAGCAACAACAGCTTCTAAGTAAGCCTTGGCGCTATCAACTGTAGCAAAACGCGAACGCTCAGACACAGGGAGGGCGTGACTGATAGCGACCTGAGCAACTGCATCGCGAGAGTCCCAGACGGCACAGGCAAGTGCAGCAGCAGAGAAAGCCTCACGCTCAGCAGAGGTGGGGTCAGCAAGGAGGGGAGCAGGCGCAGGGGGGCGGGGGAGCAAGCCATTAGTATGGAGAACCAAGGAGTGCCCATCCTGGCGCTGACCTGTGAGTTGACGGCGGAGATCGGACAGCCAGGCGACGAAGTCAACCGCATGGCCCTCAGCGTCCAGGCGGAGTACGAAGTCGGCCATCGTGCAGGGTCAGCGACACAGGGACACAGCGACACAGCTCCACACAACACAGCGGCACAGGGACACAGCAGCACAGCTCCAGGGGGACGTCTGCAGGACGCTCCAGCGCTGGCAAGCAGAAGACACGAGGCCGGAGACCCGAGGAACCGTGCCGAGCAGAAGACACGGAGCCGCAGGAGCCGGGCAGGCACTGGGAGCTGCGGGCCGCAGGAGCCGGGCAGGCGTATCGGGGCCGGGCAAGCGCTGGGTGGGGCCGGGCGGGCGGGCGCAACAGGCCGGGCGGGCGCTAGCAGGGGCCGGGCGGGCGATGTGGAGGTGCCGGGCGGGCGGTAGAGGGGGCCGGGCGGGCGCTAGGAGTGGCCGGCTAGGAGCGGGCGCGAACGGCTAGGGGGCCGGCTAGGAGCGGGCGCGACGGCCAGGGGGCCGGCTAGGGGCGGGCGCGACGGCCAAGGGGGCGGCTAGGGGCGGGCGCGACGGCCAGGGGGCCGGCTAGGGGCGGACGCGACAGCCAGGGGGCCGGCTAGGGGCGGATGCGACGGCCAGGGGGCCGGCTAGGGGTGGATGCAACGGCCAGGGGGCCAGCTAAGAGCGGGCGCGACGGCCAAGGGGCCGGCTATGGGCGGACGCGACGGCCAGGGGGGCGGCTAGGGGCGGACGCGACGGCCAGGGGGCCAGCTAGGGTCGGGCGGGACGGCCAGGGGGCCGGCTAGGGGCGGACGCGACGGCCAGGGGGCCGGCTAGGGGTGGATCACGAGGGCGGCTAGGGCCTAGGGCGGAAGCGTGGGTGGGCAAGAGGAACCGAACCTACTCATGATACCATGTTAGAAGGAGAGAATGAATGGACTAGAGTGAGAAACCTAGAACATGTACCTGTTGGGGTTGTACTCACTAGAAGCACACACCTAGGCTAGCCTATAACTTCTACATACAGCATATGTATAAGTTGACACAATCTAGGGGGTGTGTCAAACATATCTTAGTATGTTGTTATAGACTATATAGGGTTGTGGTTTAGAGAGTACAACCCACTACGTTATATTCTCTTGTATCCCACACTTCTACTCATTCATTAACTTTGATAGGTGTTGTGATAAAATCGTACTTAGTCTCCTGTACCACTTTTCAATTTCTTACAGTAGGAAGCGTTGCTGTCTTGCCGCTAATACGGTAGGCATCTATCCTTCACACCCGCACACGTCTCATTGTCTAAACATCGGCTGGTAGGCAGTGGGATATATTGTGCCTGTCAGCCAGTGCGTAAACCCTAGATGTTGAAGCTCCAAGGCAACTATGTGGCAGTAGACCGTGTGGAAGGAAGCGCTGCTGCTGCTCTACTGCTGCTCCCCTTCCACAGGTTGCAAACCCCAAGTGCTGGAGCTCCAAGGTAACGATGTAGCAGTAGACCATGTGAAACGAGGCGTTGCTGTTTTACTGCTACTCCCCTTCCGTCCCTCCCTTATCTCCCTCCGCCTCTCCCTCCGCCTCTCCCTCCCCTTCCTTCTCCACTTTGTCTCCCTCCTCTGTCTCTGAGTAGTAACAAACGGGCAGGTGGTATGCGTCTAGCTCTGTGCTTCACCCCCGCCCACGTCTCATTGTCTAAACACCGGCTGACAGGCAGAGGAATGTACTGCGTTGTGAACCCTAAATGCTGCAGCTCCAAGGCAACTATGTGGCAGTAGACGGTGTGGAAGAGCGCTCTCTTCTACTGCTACTCCGCTTCCTTCTCTTCCTTATCTACCACCTCCCCCTTCTCCTCTCACTCCTCTGCCTCCGCGTGATAACAAACAGGCAGGTGGTAAGCATCCAGCTGCCAGTATTTGTGCTTCACCCCTGCCCACGTCTCATTGTCTAAACACCGGCTGACAGGCAGCGGAATGTACTGGGTTGTGAACCCTAAATGCTGCAGCTCCAAGGCCACAATGTGGCAGTAGACCGTGTGGAAGAACGCATTGTCGCCGCACATGCCGTTGAAAAAGGAGTATACTCCGTTTGGTTTCAGCAGTTGAGGGAGGTGGGAGTGGAAGTCGCGTAGATCGTCGTAATACTCTCCGTACGTGTCAAAGAAAATGCCTGGATCAAGCAGCAAGAAAAGCCAGGAAGCAAGGGGGGAACGGAAGTAGCAGGTGAGGAACACTAGACCAAACACGTGCTGTTGAAAAAGGAGTAGACCCCGTTTGGTTTTAGTCCTTGAGGGAGGTGATAGTGGAAATCACGTAGATCATCGTAATACTCCCCATAGCTGTAAAATCATACACCTGAATTGAGCGACAAGGAAATCCAGGAAGCAAGGGCGGAAAGGAAGTGGCATGTGATGTGAGTCACAGTAGACAGTGTGAAAGAAAGTGTCACTGGCACAGATGCAAGCACAACTGCAACATCATTATACTCCACGTGCAACAGAGGTATCACCAGTTGTACCAGCAGCAACTCATCACGTCCTGCCATCTGCCTTCCACAACCAGCCGTGGTAGCAGTAGCAGCAGAAGCATCCTTCCAACATAAAAAAACGCCAGCAACACCAGCAGCAACTCACCATCGTATTACCCTAGCTGTGGTCGCACGCCCTTCCATCTCCCTTCCACCACCACCCCCTCACTCCCATACCACCGCTCCACAGCATCACGTTACATATCACACACACCACAACCCAGGGCATTCAGCAACTCACGATCATATTGCCCTGGTTATGGCAGCGCCCCCTGCCATATCCCCTCCACAATACTGAAGGAGGGTGTGTACTATTGCTATAGCGGCAGAATCAGCAACAGCAGCAACTCACCATCGTATTTTCCTAGCTGTGGTAGCACGTCCTGCCATCTCCACTCCACTACCGTCACCCCCTCCCGCTCACGCCGCCCCTCCCGCTCACGCCACCCCTCCTGCTCATGCCACTCGTCCCCAGCATCATAGTACAGCATACCCCAAAGGCTCAGTAGTGGCACCAGCAGCAGCAACGCACCATCGTATTGCCCCAGTTGTAGAAGCACGTCCTGCCACCGCCCCTCCACCTCCGTCACTCCCTCCTTCTCGTGCCACCCCTCCAACCCACAGCATCATGTAACATGTTACAAGACAAAGTGACTTTTGAGTCGACTCAAAAGTCACCTCGTAACATGTTACAGCACAACCCATGGTACCAGCAGCAACGCACCATCATATTGCCCCAGTTGTGGCAGCACGTCCTGCCACCGTCCCTCCACCACCCTCACTCCCTCCTTCTCGTGCCACCCCTCCCCCCTCATCCTCGCTATAACATCCGGATGCGCCTCCACTATAGTGTGCGATCGAATCCCGCCCTCTGCTTGGCCGATGCGAGCTGCAATGGCGGTGTCTATCAGGCCCATTCCAAACCCGATGTTGAGAATATCACCACCCTGAAGTGGGAGGGTGGGAGAGGGAAGGGAATAGTTAGAAGCAGCTCTGTAACGGCAGTCACGGTCATAGCAGCAATGGCAGTGTCTATTAGGCCCATTCCGAAGCCAATGTTGAGAATGTCACCGCCCTGAAGAGAGGGAGCAAGGCAGGGAGTGGGATGGGGAAGTCTGAGCTGGGCTAATGACGGCTAATGCAGCAATGGCGGTGTCCATCAGGCCCATGCCGAAAGCGATGATGTTGAGAATGTCACCACCCTGGAGTGAGGGAGTGAGGGAGCGAGGCAGTGAGAGAGTGAGGGAGAGAGGCAGTGAGAGAGTGAGGGAGAGAGGCAGTGAGAGAGTGAGGGAGAAGCAGTTATAGGGAAGAACGGAGGTGGGAAGGTAGGTGGGAGAGAGTATGCTGATGCGAGCTGCGATGGCGGTGTCGATTAGGCCCATTCCAAACCCTATGGTGAGAATGTCACCGTCCTGGCGGGAAAAGTAACCAGGGAAGAACGAAGGTGGGAAGGTGGGAGAGAAAACGCTGATGCGAGCTGCGATGATGGCGGTGTCGATTACGCCCATTCCAAACCCTATGTTGTGTGGGGGTGTGCATTTATCTCACCTTCCCATCTCTCACCTGTTGGCATATGGCCTGCGCATGTGCTTGCATCAATGCCCCCTCCCACCGCATCATCACGCCGCCTCCCTCCCCGTCCACCAGTCTGCTCTCAGAGAGCTGCTATTGGCATATGGCTTATGAGAACGCACCTGTTGGCATATCGCCTGCGCATGTGCTTGCATCAGTGCTCCCTCCCACCGCATCATCACGCCCCCTCCCTCCCCGTCCACCAGTCGGCTCTCAGACAGCTGCAGCCGCTCCGACAGGTAGGCTGCATTCGGGGCAGGTTCTGACTGTTCTGCTGCTGTGCTGCCACGTGTCAAGTTCCTACTCGCTGCTCCTAGAATAAGCTCGGATTTGATACCTGGGTTGGGGAATAGTGAAATACGGTACTTATTGAGTCGAATCAAAACTCACCTGGGGAATTGTAATATGTGGTATTGATGAGATGAAGGTATTGATAAAGTGAGTGAGGCTAGTGAGGGACGATAGTGAGAATGATGTGAGGGGTAAGATAGTGATTGTCAATTGTGCGAGTGCGTAGAAAGGTATATGGGACAGCTATTGCTTCTTAGAGACAGGAACGCTGTACTCGGTGCAAGGGCTGACTCTCCAATGACCCCCTTCCATATTATGAAGTACCCGCACCTCTGCGCCACTCCCCCTCATATGAGATTTTTGAGCCACCTAAAAAACAACCAATGACCGCCCACATCCCCCCCACCCCTCTCCCCAGCCCCCAATATTAAGTACCTGCACCACTCTGCGCCCCTCCCCCTAATATCGTGCATCTGCACCTGGCTCTCGTATGTTCCACACCGCCCCCTCCCCCAGCAGCGCCCACCCGCACCACTTCCGCCATTCCCACTCCCCTTCCCCACCTTCTCATGCGCACACTGTCAACTTACCCGCATCAACCAGTGTATCCAACACCTACTGTCTCCCATTCTCTTCCCCCTTTCCTCCCCCCCCCCCCCTCCTCCCTCTCCCCCTACCCATTGATTGATGTTGGCTTACCAGCATCAACCAATGTATCCAACACCTCCTGTCTCCTCTTCTTCTCCTCTTCTCTGCTCTCCTCCTCCCCTTCCCCCTCCTCCCCCTCCCCCTCCTCCTCCCCCCACGCCACCAACCCCTCTAGCGCATAGTCCCCTGCGCCCCTCCCCCTCATGTCAAGCGCGTTCCACACCGCCCCCTCTCCCAGCAGCGCCCGCACCACCTCCGCCCTTTCCCCTTCTGCTGCCGCCATCAGCGCCGTTTTCCCCTTATCGTCCACGTCTGCATAGGCCACGTCAGCTCCATCTCTGGGGGGAGGAGAGAAGGGAAGGGGAGGAAGGGGGGAGGAGGGAAGGGGGGGGGGGAAGGGGGGGAGGAGGGAAGGGGGGGGAGGAAGGGGGTGAGGAGGGAAGGGGGGGAGGAAGGGGGAGAGGAGGGAAGAGGGGGGGAGGAAGTGGGGATGGGAAGGGGGGGGGGAAGGAAGGGGGGGGGGAAGGAAGGGGGGAGGAGGGAAGGGGGGGGGGGGGGGGGCGGGAGGGGGGGAGAGGGAGGGATGCGTTGGAAACCCCAGGAAAAACGGATGTAGCAGGCAAAAGAGGGGGAGACAGCGGGGCGGGCGGGGGAGGATGTCCCCCACCCCCCCTCCCCCCCCCTCTTCCCCCAGCAGCGCCCGCAGCACCTCCGACCTCCCCCCCTCTGCTGCTGCCACGCGCGCCATTTTCCCCTGTGCGTCCAAGCAAGCATACGCCTGGGGGCGGGACGGGAAGAGGAGGGGGAGCGGGCGGGGGGGGCGATGTAGGCGGGCTATGAGGGAAGGGGGATGGGAGGGGGTAGAAGGTACACCAAGGTATTCGGAGGGGTGGGAAAAGGTACTGGGGAAGAGGAGCAAGAGGGAGGGTAAGGGTAGGGAGGATACATGGGAAGGGGAGGACTGGGGTAAAGCTACCCGTGGTAGCACTACTTGCAAGTAGTGCATAGCAGGCTACTTCCAATACCCACTATTTCTTAAGCAGTTGGTGTCAGCATAAATCGCTCGCTACGCTGCCCCTTTCTACCGCGTCCCTGCACGAGGCTGGGCGTGACAGGGTTTAAGGGTTTTACGTGTTCCTTGGGTTTACACGCCAATTGCGGGCCAGGTGGGCTGCGGAGGCAAGTTTCTACGTGCGACCGTTAAAAAACGCTCGCTCGATCAGGCGACGAACCGCCGTTAAATCGCCCATAGGGTGTAACGCGACCACCCGCCTGGACGTGATTCACGGCATGGTATGGCATGGCATAGCACGGCACGGCACCTAGCAACGAAGCACCATTCGCTAGTACAGCGCTCACTTGATCAGCCCAAGGACCGCCGCTAAATCGCCCTTGCGAGACGCGTCTATCAGCTGACGGTTCCTCGCCACGTCAGCGTCTGAGGTCGCCGCGTCAGCCATTTACGAGCGGCTTATTTGGCAGACGTAATTAATAGCTCTCGAGGCAGCATGGATAGCCTTTCCAAAATTCGCTGAGCGAGTACACTATGGCAGAGCGGGCCTGCGGTTAGAATGGCGCCACTTTGACTTAAGTTGAGTCAAAAGGAGGTGCGGTGCAGGCCGTCGGGTGTGGGCGCGTGCTAGTGGCTCGGCGGACAAGAGCACAAGGGGGCAGGGAAGAGAGGAGAAGAGTGCGCTGCGAACTGCGGTACGCGACTGCGATTGCTGTGGCAGACATGAGGTGATTGCAAGGTGGTGGTCGGATCGCTGAATGGCTGAATTCCACAGAGAAAAAATGAGTTCGTGTTTCCGCTTTTGTAAAGCTCAATGCTGGTGGTGTAGAAAGGAGTGGAATTAAATAAGGTTCCGTATTATACAATGAAAGAACGACACACTAAGTCGGTCAATTTCATACTCGTTATCAGCTGTATAAACAACAAAATTAAGAAAACCACGATCTTAAATGTTCTATATCCAGATGTGTGCTGTACAGTACACAGCTAGCACCAAATCATTTACCTAGTCCTAAACATCCAATATTCCGCGCTTCTAGCTTCTGTTTCACAGTATTGTGCAAGCGTCCGCCTCCACACCAGGAAGGGTAGCCTTCACCATCCGCTGCAAGCCCGGCCCACTGGCTTTCACATGCTTCAGATGCGGAAGGGACCTCAAACCCTTCAAACCCCGTTTAGTAACTGTAGCATTCTCCAACCCCAGCGACACCAAGTCTGTGAGGCGCTTGATTTCCTCTATGCCAGCATCTCCCATGCCAGCCGGGGCAGCGAAGAAGCTCAGGTGGGTCAAGGAGGTCAAGTGTCGCAGCCCTTCGTGAGTCACCCTTGTTGCCTCCTCCAAATTCAGGCAGTGAATGGACTGCAGCCTACCCACACAGACCATCCCAGCATCAGTAATCCCACACGGAAGGGCAAGTACCGTGAGCTTAGTCAGTGAAGTCAGATGCTGCAAACCATCATCCGTCACCTCTGTCTCACCCAGATCAAAGTGGCGAAGGCCTGTCAGCTGTCCCACATGCGCCATGCCAGGAGATGCCACACGGGTCCTCCTCAGAATGAGTTCCTGAAGAGATCTCAGCCTCCCCACATGAACAATACCAGCAGATGTGACATCCCGACAGCCTAGAAGTTCCAGAGAAGTGAGCGAGGGAAGGTTAACAAGGTGTGCCAAACCAGCATCAGTCACATCGGTGTACTCGAGATTGAGTTGCTGGAGACTCCTCAACGCTCCAATGCCTTCTAATGAGCTGTCAGAGATGCTCGTTCTGTTCAGAGTCAGCAATTCCAGCCGTGACAGGCCATCGTAAAGGTGCTTGATCCCCACTGCACTGAAGCCTGAGCAGCCAGTCAGGTCGAGCCTTTCTAGGTGAGTCATGGTGGATATATGACCCAGGATGGCGTTGGATAGACCGGAGAGACCTCGGAAGGACAGGCTGGTTGAGTGCGACGCCCGATGGATTCTCTGAGGGGAAAACAACAGGGTGTATCTCAGCACACGGTCAGGAAAATGTAGAACTATCGCTTTGTGTTGCATCAACCTTTGCAAAGAAATTAAATAGTTGATTTAAAACGGATACTCACCTCCCAGATCTCCTTCCTCTCGCCATGACTCCGCCTCATTTCCGTGGCCACATCCAACGCCCTGCTCTTGTGCTCAACGGACTTTTCCTTGCCTCGTGCCTGCAACTCCCGCCTTGTCAGTGACAGCTCCCGCTTGACTGCTTCCAGCTCCCGCTTCATTGCAGCCATGTCGAGCTTCATCGTGTCATTCTCCCCTTTTTCCATTCCGGCCTAGGGAAGCTTCTAGAGATTGCTGCGGTTGTGATGGGAGACAAGCGGCTATGGGAGAGGAATCTGATACACCAAGTACGCTGAAACCCTTCTCCTGCCTGCGACTGAAATAGGAAGAGGCCTTAGGCCTGAACGACTTCGAGGCATCATCATTCCGAGCGAGTCCCAGGAAATTTGCAGTCAGAGCGAGTTCAACTTGACGATCCATTCACATTGCCGATCTCTGTCGTTACCAGCCACTCGGCGCTGCGTATCGTCTGAATGGTGGACGACATGACGTCAGCCACCAGTTTCACAAAAATAATTGCCGATTTCGGCTACATATGCGATCATCATCGGGCAACATGCACGTTTCAGCATGCGACAGGGAGGCGTCGCTCGTGACCCTTGTCTCTTGAGGACTCTCCTAGCAGGGCTTTCGCAAACACATTCTTGCTTCAAGATTAGACCCATCCCAACCATTGGAGACTAGTTTTAGTAGCTGATAGGTCATTTGCCATGTCCGAGTGGGTGATGGGGCCTCTGGTTTCACGACGTCTGCGAGAGATTTTGCCCAGCAGCACGATATTTCGCAAATCCTCAAGTTGAACCTCGGGCTCCGAAACCCGACTGTTGAGGGGGTAGTAGAATGGTGTGTGGACATTCTTAGTGGAGAAATTATATGCAGAGAAGGGTAAGAATTCAGGACGCCTTGCGCTGATTGAAATGATGAGATTCGATATCTGCTGCCGTCGTAGATGGATTACAGGTGGGCTACGGAGGCCTTATTTCCATCAAATCTGTAGATTTCTACAACAAGACGAACCCTAGAGCCGAGAGTACGTTCAGGAGAGCTTTTTAGGGGACCCTGGTTAGAGAAAATGCTCTTGTTCAGTTTATGCAGCCAGCTTGAGAGTTAACAGCAGCGAAACTTGGTAAACTAGTTTCGGCTCTTGCGAGCCTTCATCAGTACAAGTCCGTCGAACTGATGAGATTCGAGATCTGCTGCCTGGATTCGTCGTGAAGACCGAACTCCCCTCAGCCCTCATCTTCCCTCCCTGTACCCTCGGGCCGCCCCAATATCATCTCTCATCCCCCCTTCCTCCCCTGCTCCCCATACCCCTCTTCCCCATCCCCCTCTTCCCCATCTCCTTGGTCCCTATTCCCCTGCCTCTCATTCCCTTGTCTCACATCCCCCTCTTCCCCATCCCCCTCTTCCCCATCCCCCTGCTCCACATTCCCCTGTCTCTCATTCCCCATGCCTCTCATTCGCCTGCTTCTCATTCGCCTGCCTGTCATTCGCCTGTCTCTCGTGCCTCGCGTTCAGAGGGAGTGAGAATGCAGAATGCTCAGGATAGGAATGTTGTTGTTCCTCATTCCTCGTTCCTCGTTCCTCGTTCCTCGTTCCTCGTTCCTCGTTCCTCGTTCCTCGTTCCTCGTTCCTCGTTCCTCGTTCCTCGTTCCTCGTTCCTCGTTCCTCGTTCCTCGTTCCTCGTTCCTCGTTCCTCGTTCCTCGTTCCTCGTTCCTCGTTCCTCGTTCCTCGTTCCTCGTTCCTCGTTCCTCGTTCCTCGTTCCTCGTTCCTCGTTCCTCGTTCCTCGTTCCTCGTTCCTCGTTCCTCGTTCCTCGTTCCTCGTTCCTCGTTCCTCGTTCCTCGTTCCTTCCCTGCCTCCTTATGTTTCCCACCCTCTCTCCCTCCCTCCCTCCCTCCCTCCTCCTCCCCCCTACTCTAGGGCATACTGTGTATGCACAGGTATTTGCAAGAAAGGCAAACCACCCTGGTGCTGAGGCAACCAGCTGAGTCGCTGACCCCAACATCCCCAAGGGTTTCGTCGTCACTGCATCGACCCTTGGGGGCTTGAGAAGTTATTCCTGCTGCAAATGTCTCGACGTGATACTTGATTAGGAATTCAGTTGCAACAAGCCATGTCAGCAACCCGCAGGCAGGATGGAGGAGCTGCAGCAGCAGCAACAGCAGCAGCGGCAGTACTAGCAGCAGGAGCAGGACGATCAGCAACAGCGGCAACAGCAGCAGCAGCAGCAGCGTGAAGGGATGGCAAGAATGGTGCAGCAGAAGGCATTCAGGGGAAGCATGGGCTGATATCTCTTGACCCGAATCATCACATTCACATTTCTCATCACTCGTTCTCTCCTGGCGGGGCTCCTTATGGCCGGATTTGCTCTCACCCTAGGCCTTCCTCATTTTGCTTTGTTCATCCTTCATTCCTTTTCTCCTGTCCCCTCCTCTCCCCTGGCCTCTTCTGCTTCTCCGGCATTGCCACCATTGTCCCTGCCATGTCTTCCGCTCGATATGTTGTGTTTATGTGTGGTGCGTAGGCATGTGTGCACGCACACATGTGCATTTGATATTGGTTCATCCATACTTTTGTATTGATCTCTCAACGTTATAGAACACATTGGTGTGCCAACCACTGCTACTGCATGCCTTTCGTGAGGCTTCTCTCCATGCCTTGCCATTCTCAGGATTGCGCAGATGCGCATCCTTAAACCATTTTCTCCCGGCATGGAATGAGAACCCGCAATACATTGTGATGCGCATCCTTATTGGGTTGAGAAAAAGGGGCTTAGGATCTTTTCAGAGACTAAGTCCCAGCTGTGGAATGAGAACCCGCAATACATTGTGATGCGCATCCTTTTAACTGGTTGCTGCACCCGAAAATTTCCCACTACCACTGCCACTGGTTGCCCCTCCTCCTCTCCTCTTGCTCTAAGTATCCCTTTCAGCCGTGTCGCGTTCTTTCATTCCTGGGAATGAGTGCAGGAGCAGCGTCAGCAGTGATGGGAACAGGTGGATGGATATGTGGGCATGGATGAATGCGGCATGGTGGTGGTGGGGTTACAGATGTTGCTATACTTGTTAAAATTATATAAGTTATAATTTTATATAGGCTTGGTAGGTTGCTACTAAACCTTTCTGTAGGGGGTACAAACCCCTCCTTGTACTCCCTTCTCTTCCTAATCCAACTCTTCTTCCTTCTCGACTTTCCTCCTACTCCTAGATCCGTTTTTCCTAGCGCCGTTCCATGGCGGCCTTGCTCCTATCCTAGCTAAGCTAGTGTCCTAACTTTAGGGACCTAGCATCCTAAGTTCTTAACATGGTATCAGAGCAGGAGATCCTTCCTGCTGGACTGCCTCCTCTCGCTTCCGCCATTTACTCCTCACCCTCATTCACTCCAGCGGCCATGGCGGCCGCGTTTTGCTGCAGTGGCGACGTCGCGCTGCCACTGGGCGCGTCGTGCCGCGACCGGCCCGACGCGCTGCCGCGGAGTCGGGCCGTCGTTCTGCAGTCGCAGCGTCGACGCCCCGCTGCGGCATCGACGCTGCCATGGCGGCCGCGGCGGCGTCACGCTGTGGCGTCGTCGTCTGTTCGCCGGCTGCGCCGTCCTGCCGCGGCCGTCTCGACACGCGACCGGGACGACGTCAGCGCGACGCCGCGGCTGCGCCCCTCCTGGGCCTCGTCGCGCCCTGCCTGGCCTCATCGCACCCGCTCGGCCCCGTCGCGCCCTGCCTGGCCCCGTCGCCCTCTGCCCGGCCCCGTCGCCCCCTGCCAGGACGCCGTCGTCCCGCCTGTAAGCGCCGCGCCATTTATGGCGCGACGCTGAAGACTCGCCCCGCCCCCCCCCCCCACCCCCCCCATTCTCCCTTCCCCCTGCGTCTTCCCTTCCTCCTGTCGCAGCTGCTGTCTTCTGCCCGGACGTTGCCACATCGCCGAGAGCCCTCAGCCGCGGCAGTCGCCGCCTGTCGTCGGCGACCCAGCCGCCTTGAGCCAGAGCTCCGCGGCTGCTTGTCGCTGACCCGCCTAGACGCCGTCGGCTGCCTCGTGTACGGGGGTGTGTCAACGCTTTGCCTGAGGGTCAGATACCCGGCTAAGCATGAGCCTGAGGGTGTGCGGGGTTCGGGGGTGGGTTGGGTGCGGGTGTGGGGGTGTGAGTGGGCTTGACACTACCAAGCCTAGGGGGTGTGTTAAAATTATATAAGTTATAATTTTATATAGGCTTGGTAGGTTGCTACTGAACCTTTCTGTAGGGGGTACAAACCCCTCCTTGTACTCCCTTCTCTTCCTAATCCAACTCTTCTTCCTTCTCGACTTTCCTCCTACTCCTAGATCCGTTTTTCCTAGCGCCGTTCCATGGCGGCCTTGCTCCTATCCTAGCTAAGCTAGTGTCCTAACTTTAGGGACCTAGCATCCTAAGTTCTTAACAATACTCGCTATGCCAGTTGCCTTTAAAATCAGCTGTGGTAGTCATGCATGTGTCATTATGGGATTGGTCATTGTTGTTGTGATTTGATTCATACTTCGCATTTCTGTAAGTCTATTATCGATAGATAGTGTCGAATCCTACGGTAGAAGATAGGTCCGTAGGATGACGTCATGAAATAGCGCTCATCATGAGGACAGTCGTTTCAGTCACGCGAATAGTCGCGTCTCTTCAGTGTCATTTAGGGCGCATAGCACGATAGTGTCAACAAGTACATTAGCGAACAGGTACTTCTGTTAGATATAAAAGTAGCCTGTCTTCATTGTTTAGTTAACGTGATTCAGGACTTGATTCTGAACTTGATCTTCAGTAAATTCTTGTCAACACTTCACAAGTTCTAAGACTTTCGCTGTCTTACTAGTCTACTATTCCAGTAAAGATCCTAGACTAACACTTGAGGTTTTCCAAGTGTACGTGTTTGCATATTCTATACTTCGTGTCCTGCAAAACCTGTCAAATTATTACATGGTATGAGAGCTGTCTGGAATTAAGACTACTGTCAAGAATGACTGGAGCATCACCGGCACAATCTACCGGATCTAGTTCCGGAACTACTGGAGTACTTGTCTCCTCAACTGCCACTGGTCTCTCAGCCTCTGGACCATTTCCACCAGCTTATGCACACATCGGTATGCAGCAGCAGCAGTAAAATCATTCTTCTGTTAATACTCCAGGGACTTCATCGACTGCCCCTGCAGCGCAACAACATCAAACCCAGGCAACAGCACAACAACAGGCAACAGCACAGCAGTTTTCAACTCAGTCAATATCGTCAGCGTTTAATGGAATGAGCCTTGACGGCTCAAGTTACATGCGTGGAGCTCCAGCTCCAAGTACTGGCTCATTTGCATTCTCACCTTTTACGCAGCAGCCGCAGTCCCAGCAACAGCACCCCTTTTACATCTTCGGGCGTTCACCTGCTCAGCAACAACAACAGCATCAGCAACAGCAACATCGGCAACAACAGCAACAGCAGCAACATCCACAGCAATTTCAACAACAGCAACAACCTCAACAAAAGGGTATTGTATTTCAACCGCCGAATTTACTTAATAGCACACAGATCAACACCACTATACCTTTTTAACGGAGTTGATTTTTACTCCTGGAGCTTTGAGTTTGAACTTCTGGCGCAGTCTGCCGGACTTTGGCCGTTCTTCACCGGCGAGTTCACTTGTCCTGTTACGGGAACACAACTGGAGCAGCAGAGTTTCTTGCACGCCTCTCTCGGGGCGTATACGGTTCTCGTTTGAAACTTAACGGCA